GGCTTGCCCATAACAACCATTCACTAGTTCCCTTTAAATATTCCAATTTTGATAGATAAAGCTCAATTAAGAAGTCTCCAGCCTCTCTGGAAATATCGTGAAGTTGATCGCGTAGAATGGCCATTGTTTCTGTAAGATGATCAGCATGTTCTGCTTGAAAACTCAGCAAATATTTCCTTCTTGCTGGTAGCTGTAAAGCAGCAAGATGCCACACGTCTCCCTTGAGAGGTCCAATCGATGGTGGTACCACAATGTCAAAACCATGGCGATAAATTTTGTTACTTGAAAATGTTGACTGAGCAATCAAGGCAAAGCCTGTATTGATGGTAAGGGACAAAATGCTAGTAACATGTCTTCTGTCTGTTTTTAGGTGAAGAAGCAAATGATTTTTGCCATTTCCTTTCCAGTAGGGCAATGAGTGTAAATCCGTTTCGAGGTCGCTCTTACTTTTCCAATGACGAGCAGGTTCGACCGACCCAACAATCACTATGTACAAACAGGCTTTCTCTGGTTCCGCTGTGTAATAAGGGCTTCTTTTCAGCAACTGGAAAATTTCCGTGACGTTGGATTCTGAAGTAAGATTACCAAACGAACGCTCGTAGACGAACACTGGAAAACCTGAACTGAAAGAACATCTCGAAAAATCAAAGCAATCGAATAGTTGACAGTTTGAGGAAGCTCTCTGGTCTGGGAGTGAGCTATGATTGTCATATTCAGGTGCCGCATTGAGTTTCGCAGGAAGTTTCAAGTATGGTAGTTGTGGACAGTCGTTAGCTCGTACTTTGGCAAGTTTAATAAGCTCGAGTTCCCTTTCTGCCCGAATCAAAGCAGTTTTCAATTCACCAAGTCTGTCTTCTAAGGAAACTGTGTTGTCAATGGCCCCGTCTTGCTTGGTCCAAGAATGCAAATTAATTTGAGTGTTTCCTAAAGGAGCTCTCTCTTTTGCCAAATAATATTGAGTTATTAGCGTTATCACAAGTGTATATAGCAAGAGAAAAGTGAACAGTCGCCCAAACGAAGAGTCTTTCAGTTTGTGCATTAACACATGCATCATACAATGAAGTTATTTCTTCTTGTTCTGCTGACGGAAAGAAGGAACATGAAGTATCAGTGATAAATGGCGTGTCAAGATTGCTGCAATCAAGCCAGTTTGAGAGTAATTTTCAAGAGAAATTCAATCTTCCAGAAGCATATTACATGAAGTAACACTTGAAGACCCTTTGAACTGAAAACTACAACCATGTCAAGTCAGAATTCCCTGTAAGACTGTATGTTCCGTTCCCTGAGCGCCATGTATTCAACTTGCAAGACCCCCAAGTAGTAACTACAATGGCAACCAGTTGCAGTGTTAGTATTGCTAGAGATCTTTTTTAACAAACACTTCAGAAACAGTTGGCAGAATGTTTGGTTCTGTTTAAGTTGAATTATTGAAACATTACATTCAAACCCTTGAGGTTGTGTTGCATTTGCCATTAAACAACACATCGGCTTGAGTGATGTAATAAATCTAAATTGGTTACCCTCAGGTGAAATGACAGAATTGAGTTTACTGAAAATGTTTCGTAAACATTTGTACAATAAAGGTTTCTCAAAGCATTTAATGCATAACAACTGAAATTTCACACTTTAAAAACTGCTATCATCAGCTGCCTCTACATTGCACTAATAAGAGGGTTTATTTTATGGAGTCATACATTCCGCAAACTTTGTAATCCCTTCCAAGTTGCAGACCGCTTTTGTTATCTCCTTAAAAGCAAAATAACTCCCTTTCTAGTGGGAAGATTGTCATCATAACCAATCTTTTGACAGTACGTAACAAATTCTTAACGATATAGTAGCTCAATAATTATCGTATTTCTCCTCAAGAGTCTACAAGATCTTAAAAACAGAACAAATTGTTTCTAACTGCTATTCAGTATTAACCAGCGGACAAATAGTTTTAACGTCTAATGGGCCGTGTGCACAAACAAAGATTGCTTCAGATGCTCATATTTATGAACCGTAAAAGTACAACCGTCAATTCTGCCCTGCGGACATTTCAGGCTGCTAGAAAAGAATATACGGTGTCTTTAGCGTCTGTAGCCGAGCTGTAGGAAATGCCGGACATTATATGTAGCATCTATAGTGGGTGAAAAATCTCTCGATCTCCATTTTTCGACCTCTCTTTCGAGAATGCACGATATCAAGAGTGGATATAACGGTGGAAAGTGGTCTATGGGTAGTGCTAGCAAAACTTAAACACTACAGAGTGAGAGTCCTGTGGTTTGGGGCCAAAATATTTAAATGCGACATTTCAAATGTTTTTTAGCGTAATCAGTCTGCCATTACAACGAACTCGAAACTAAAAATGTAATACAATTAAAGCTTTGAAGGAAAGGATTTGTATTTCTAAGCTAAGCTCGCGTCTCCATTAAAGAGAAACTTAACGGTAACCTTGTAAAAGCTATTTTCTTTTAAGTCTGGTCGATTCTGTAACTCAGATGGTTTCTTGACTTGTATGTTATTTGTTCATTTTAGATCACGTGACGTCTTCTGAAAGCTGGTCAGTCTCACTAATACATAGCAGCTATCAGCTTTCCCATTTGCTGCTACTTTCTATAAGTAGCAAGTCTTCGTTTTCATGGAGTAACCGGCTGAACATGTTCCAAGTATGGAGTTAAAAGCCTCAAGCGAGCACTTAAGTTTTGCATTGTATTTCGGAAGCTTCCACGCACAATATCGACACACCTATGTCATTTGCGGAATAAATTTATAGTGGTTCATTTTCGACTGAAGCAAGAACGTTCACCCACCCAAACACAATTATAGGAAAATGACACGTCCAGAAAGCGACCCGCTTACGCAAGTGCGCTTTCTTATAAGGAATATTTTCAATAGCAAATTGACAACGCGCGCCAAACGTTCACAGTGTGTGTCGAAAGCACTAGAAGCAAGCAATTGTGTCCGCCATAAGACGAGTGTTCGTCTAATGAGAAATTATCTTAGCTTTTATGAGTACATGAACATCTTAACTGCCTGCGGAACCGTGGATATTCGTCGAATAGAGACTTCCACTTACAGGAACCAATGCAGTGAGATGCGTACACGAGGAACCGGCGCAAACACAAGCTAAATATATGCCGGGCGATCAGAATTTTTCACGTTGCTGGTGACACTGGTTGTTAGAAACGCAAACATAATACCCAAGCTGAGCAAGGCAAACCACTACAGGGTTTCTACAAAGCTGTTTTTTGTTGTTTTTCAGCTTTTTCACCGCCTATTGCACTAACCTATCTACTGAGGAGATTTGGAACGTTTTGGTTCCAATATCACCCACAGACCTAACAACAAAGGACCTAAACATGTCAGGATGAAGACAACTGAACTGAATTTGCGCTTGAATTTGATTCGACAGAATGCAGAAGTTTAAGGCCTACAGCAGCTCTTTTTAGTGACACTTATCTTAAATCCAAGCTGGACTTACCTCGTAAATCCGGACTACAAATTTCACGACAGGTTCACGGGCAGTCGGCTTACGCTCTCAAGCGCTGAATTATAATTACATCAGAATCTATGTGGTTCGGTTTTGAAAAGTAATCACCAACCCAGTTCCTGAACTTGATATGAATATTTATTAATGTTGTACTTAGTGGACAGCCAAAAGCATATAATAGAAACTTTTATGGCCAACGTTTGAACATTCGCTTTTATAAATCTCGCAAATTTTCCTCTGTCTTTCCGAGCGCTATGCAGCTGAAATTCTTGTAAAAAGAGCACGAAAGGTGTAAATTTTAGCTTTTAAAAAGTACTGTAAAGAAACAGGGTGAACGGCCATCCAAAAAGTCTCGAGGAACGTAAACCTGTGTTTATCCATGCTCCCCTACTATCAGTACGCCAGAAAACTACGAGAATAGACTATTTCCTTTCAAGCGTCACTTTTCTGTCATAAAAGGAAATAGTTCTGGTAGCAAGTTCCCATATTTTATATATTCACAGATGTATGCAGAATGGAAATTTTATTAGTTACAGTGAGGGGCCTCGTCGAAAGAAAGTTCTATTTCTGTGATAAATTAGCACTGTTCAAAGGTGTCGTCTATTGTCAGAACAAGAGAGGTTTCATAGCTTATTGTATAAGAGACGGACCATTAGAAAAGTGATGGAGAGGGGAGGGGTGGGACTTTTTCGGCTTTCAGGAATTTTTTTTTTCATCTGCAGGGCAAGAAAATCGGTCTGTAGCAGTACGTTAATCTGTCTGGACATCATGAGGAGAAACAGCTAATAAAGAAGCAACTTCTCATTACTGACATCGACATTTAGGGAAGGCTTTAGCTCTTGAATGAACAGTCTCTTTAATTTTGCCATGAAAGTCGGTAACGACGATATCATTTTCAATTACTCTCACCGTCTCAGGAAAACGTTAAGCAGAGAACACTGTGAATTCCTCAAAGATGGCGGGTGACCTTAATTTTTCGAATCAAGTTTCGTTCGATCACATCTTGGAAATAATGAGTGACAATCTCCAACTGCAAGAGTTCTTTGCCAGGATGTTTTGTCCCGCAGGCGTTTCGATATCCCGCAGAGTATCGGGACATCTCCCGCTGAGGGAACAGGAGATAAAGAGCACGAACAATGAACCAAGTGCAGATTGACAAGAATTCATCAAAACAGTGGTAAAGATCAACCTTTTTAGGGGACTTGAACAAACGAACTGTGTATTCATACTTTCAGGGGAGTCCCCTAGGTGGTTTGCTAAAGAAAGTCTACTTTTCAGACTCTTTTCAGTTAATGAGGGAAACGGGAAAACAGTTATATTTTGCTTTGTTCGCATTTTCTGCCTCAATTAATGAGAGTATAACGATTTCACCTTTGTATTGCGTCCAACGGAAGTAGTAAGATAAGAAATATGCGAACGCCTCACAAGGGAGGCACCGGAACTCTGCCAAACCGGAAGTTAAACGCCTTTCGATTGATTTGGGCTGCAAATGATGATTTCTATGGGGAAGGTACTTACTCAACTGCTACTTTCTTATTCTAAACACAATTAATTTTCCATGCAGACAATTGCAACAAAACATGCAATTGGCGATTCGAGAAAACAAGATATTCAGGCAGTAAGCTTTTAGGTCGCAAGTTTCGCGCCTGCCTCCCCGGTGTGTTTTCACGGGTGTTTACAATTATTCTGTACCAGTCCTTCGCGTCCATCAGATCACGTCTTCCTTCATCAAAGTAATCGCGCTATTTTGAAATACTGCTGGTGGAATCTTTCGCTTTACAGATACCGGTACTTTAAAGCGCAAAACAAGTTAATATCATACAGCAGACGATTGAAACTTGCGAGTCAAGTGGTTGGATGTTGCAAGGGATTCGTCGTGACGTGAAATCGTTCGCATCTTTTCAGATTTTTGTGGCACCGATTTAGCTCACCGAGTTTTGAGTTGGACGGGTTCTGCCGATGAGTGATTGAACATAAATTTGGACAAATGCAACTCAGCTTGGTGACAAAGAAAGCAGCAAAGTCTTGTCGAATTCTTCCATAAAGAGCAGAGACATCTGGCAAAACTGTTCACTTTGGAAATTGTGATTGTATCATTAAACCCATTGATGCCTTCAGCGATGTATTCGGGGAATATGTTTCCGGAAGATTAAATTTCTGTCGAAATTTTGGATCGATTACAGCGAGTTTGACAAACAAGTAATCAGTGGTTCTTCATGTTTCTTGTGGCTGTCGGCAGGACATTTTATTTCTTGTTAGCAGAAGAATTAACTTGGAGTGATGCATATATTGATGTACAAACTCAAAGACTCGTCGCTCGGGCGACTGGTCGCATTTCTCCTGGTATTTGCACTTGTGGTACCGCTAATAACTCATTACTATTTAGCAAAAGAAACAGTTCCTTCAGAGAGAAGTCGAATTAATTTTCAATCAAGGACCAAGTTAGACAGACCCGTTGACAAAGCGGATTCTTTACTTGATAGAATCGATGAATTGAAATACGAAATTGAAGAACAGGAGAGAATCAAATTGTCATTATCTAATGAACTAAGACAGCTTGAGGGAAGGAAGAACGGGCTTTTAAAAGTGATTTCTAATTTTTCTAGAAAAGCAGAGAGCGCAAGAACTCAAGCTGAACATTACCATGCTGATGTGATTCGAGCACAAAGGGAACTGGAGCTTATTAAGCTTGCCAAAATACGAGCTAATGACTGTCCACAGCTACCTCATTTAAAACTGCCGCAAAAACTTAATGTGGAATCAGAGGATGACATTAGCCCGGTCCCAGACCAAAGAATTTCATCAAACTGCCAACTTAACAATTGCTTTGATTTTTCAAGATGTGCTTTCAATTCTGGATTTCCAGTCTTTGTCTATGAGCACCCTTTGGGTTATTTTACTTCAGACTCTAGAGCCATAGATATTTTGCAGTTGTTGAAAAACACTCCATATTACACAGCTAAACCAGAGAAAGCCTGTTTGTACATAGTGATTATTGGATCAACAGAACCTACTCATCATCCGAAAAGTAAGAGCGAACTTGAAACAGATTTACACTCACTGCCTTACTGGAAAGGAAATGGCAAAAATCACTTGCTTTTACACCTAAAAACAGACAGAAGACATTTTACTAGTATTTTATCCCTTAACATAAATACAGGCTTTGCCTTGGTTGCTCAATCAACATTTTTTAAAGACAATACTTATCGCCATGGCTTTGACACTGTGTTACCACCATCGATTGGACCCCTCAAGGGAGAAGAAAACTCAGCAAATATTTCCTTCTTGCTGGTAGCTGTAAAGCAGCAAGATGCCACACGTCTCCCTTGAGAGGTCCAATCGATGGTGGTACCACAATGTCAAAACCATGGCGATAAATTTTGTTACTTGAAAATGTTGACTGAGCAATCAAGGCAAAGCCTGTATTGATGGTAAGGGACAAAATGCTAGTAACATGTCTTCTGTCTGTTTTTAGGTGAAGAAGCAAATGATTTTTGCCATTTCCTTTCCAGTAGGGCAATGAGTGTAAATCCGTTTCGAGGTCGCTCTTACTTTTCCAATGACGAGCAGGTTCGACCGACCCAACAATCACTATGTACAAACAGGCTTTCTCTGGTTCCGCTGTGTAATAAGGGCTTCTTTTCAGCAACTGGAAAATTTCCGTGACGTTGGATTCTGAAGTAAGATTACCAAACGAACGCTCGTAGACGAACACTGGAAAACCTGAACTGAAAGAACATCTCGAAAAATCAAAGCAATCGAATAGTTGACAGTTTGAGGAAGCTCTCTGGTCTGGGAGTGAGCTATGATTGTCATATTCAGGTGCCGCATTGAGTTTCGCAGGAAGTTTCAAGTATGGTAGTTGTGGACAGTCGTTAGCTCGTACTTTGGCAAGTTTAATAAGCTCGAGTTCCCTTTCTGCCCGAATCAAAGCAGTTTTCAATTCACCAAGTCTGTCTTCTAAGGAAACTGTGTTGTCAATGGCCCCGTCTTGCTTGGTCCAAGAATGCAAATTAATTTGAGTGTTTCCTAAAGGAGCTCTCTCTTTTGCCAAATAATATTGAGTTATTAGCGTTATCACAAGTGTATATAGCAAGAGAAAAGTGAACAGTCGCCCAAACGAAGAGTCTTTCAGTTTGTGCATTAACACATGCATCATACAATGAAGTTATTTCTTCTTGTTCTGCTGACGGAAAGAAGGAACATGAAGTATCAGTGATAAATGGCGTGTCAAGATTGCTGCAATCAAGCCAGTTTGAGAGTAATTTTCAAGAGAAATTCAATCTTCCAGAAGCATATTACATGAAGTAACACTTGAAGACCCTTTGAACTGAAAACTACAACCATGTCAAGTCAGAATTCCCTGTAAGACTGCATGTTCCGTTCCCTGAGCGCCATGTATTCAACTTGCAAGACCCCCAAGTAGTAACTACAATGGCAACCAGTTGCAGTGTTAGTATTGCTAGAGATCTTTTTTAACAAACACTTCAGAAACAGTTGGCAGAATGTTTGGTTCTGTTTAAGTTGAATTATTGAAACATTACATTCAAACCCTTGAGGTTGTGTTGCATTTGCCATTAAACAACACATCGGCTTGAGTGATGTAATAAATCTAAATTGGTTACCCTCAGGTGAAATGACAGAATTGAGTTTACTGAAAATGTTTCGTAAACATTTGTACAATAAAGGTTTCTCAAAGCATTTAATGCATAACAACTGAAATTTCACACTTTAAAAACTGCTATCATCAGCTGCCTCTACATTGCACTAATAAGAGGGTTTATTTTATGGAGTCATACATTCCGCAAACTTTGTAATCCCTTCCAAGTTGCAGACCGCTTTTGTTATCTCCTTAAAAGCAAAATAACTCCCTTTCTAGTGGGAAGATTGTCATCATAACCAATCTTTTGACAGTACGTAACAAATTCTTAACGATATAGTAGCTCAATAATTATCGTATTTCTCCTCAAGAGTCTACAAGATCTTAAAAACAGAACAAATTGTTTCTAACTGCTATTCAGTATTAACCAGCGGACAAATAGTTTTAACGTCTAATGGGCCGTGTGCACAAACAAAGATTGCTTCAGATGCTCATATTTATGAACCGTAAAAGTACAACCGTCAATTCTGCCCTGCGGACATTTCAGGCTGCTAGAAAAGAATATACGGTGTCTTTAGCGTCTGTAGCCGAGCTGTAGGAAATGCCGGACATTATATGTAGCATCTATAGTGGGTGAAAAATCTCTCGATCTCCATTTTTCGACCTCTCTTTCGAGAATGCACGATATCAAGAGTGGATATAACGGTGGAAAGTGGTCTATGGGTAGTGCTAGCAAAACTTAAACACTACAGAGTGAGAGTCCTGTGGTTTGGGGCCAAAATATTTAAATGCGACATTTCAAATGTTTTTTAGCGTAATCAGTCTGCCATTACAACGAACTCGAAACTAAAAATGTAATACAATTAAAGCTTTGAAGGAAAGGATTTGTATTTCTAAGCTAAGCTCGCGTCTCCATTAAAGAGAAACTTAACGGTAACCTTGTAAAAGCTATTTTCTTTTAAGTCTGGTCGATTCTGTAACTCAGATGGTTTCTTGACTTGTATGTTATTTGTTCATTTTAGATCACGTGACGTCTTCTGAAAGCTGGTCAGTCTCACTAATACATAGCAGCTATCAGCTTTCCCATTTGCTGCTACTTTCTATAAGTAGCAAGTCTTCGTTTTCATGGAGTAACCGGCTGAACATGTTCCAAGTATGGAGTTAAAAGCCTCAAGCGAGCACTTAAGTTTTGCATTGTATTTCGGAAGCTTCCACGCACAATATCGACACACCTATGTCATTTGCGGAATAAATTTATAGTGGTTCATTTTCGACTGAAGCAAGAACGTTCACCCACCCAAACACAATTATAGGAAAATGACACGTCCAGAAAGCGACCCGCTTACGCAAGTGCGCTTTCTTATAAGGAATATTTTCAATAGCAAATTGACAACGCGCGCCAAACGTTCACAGTGTGTGTCGAAAGCACTAGAAGCAAGCAATTGTGTCCGCCATAAGACGAGTGTTCGTCTAATGAGAAATTATCTTAGCTTTTATGAGTACATGAACATCTTAACTGCCTGCGGAACCGTGGATATTCGTCGAATAGAGACTTCCACTTACAGGAACCAATGCAGTGAGATGCGTACACGAGGAACCGGCGCAAACACAAGCTAAATATATGCCGGGCGATCAGAATTTTTCACGTTGCTGGTGACACTGGTTGTTAGAAACGCAAACATAATACCCAAGCTGAGCAAGGCAAACCACTACAGGGTTTCTACAAAGCTGTTTTTTGTTGTTTTTCAGCTTTTTCACCGCCTATTGCACTAACCTATCTACTGAGGAGATTTGGAACGTTTTGGTTCCAATATCACCCACAGACCTAACAACAAAGGACCTAAACATGTCAGGATGAAGACAACTGAACTGAATTTGCGCTTGAATTTGATTCGACAGAATGCAGAAGTTTAAGGCCTACAGCAGCTCTTTTTAGTGACACTTATCTTAAATCCAAGCTGGACTTACCTCGTAAATCCGGACTACAAATTTCACGACAGGTTCACGGGCAGTCGGCTTACGCTCTCAAGCGCTGAATTATAATTACATCAGAATCTATGTGGTTCGGTTTTGAAAAGTAATCACCAACCCAGTTCCTGAACTTGATATGAATATTTATTAATGTTGTACTTAGTGGACAGCCAAAAGCATATAATAGAAACTTTTATGGCCAACGTTTGAACATTCGCTTTTATAAATCTCGCAAATTTTCCTCTGTCTTTCCGAGCGCTATGCAGCTGAAATTCTTGTAAAAAGAGCACGAAAGGTGTAAATTTTAGCTTTTAAAAAGTACTGTAAAGAAACAGGGTGAACGGCCATCCAAAAAGTCTCGAGGAACGTAAACCTGTGTTTATCCATGCTCCCCTACTATCAGTACGCCAGAAAACTACGAGAATAGACTATTTCCTTTCAAGCGTCACTTTTCTGTCATAAAAGGAAATAGTTCTGGTAGCAAGTTCCCATATTTTATATATTCACAGATGTATGCAGAATGGAAATTTTATTAGTTACAGTGAGGGGCCTCGTCGAAAGAAAGTTCTATTTCTGTGATAAATTAGCACTGTTCAAAGGTGTCGTCTATTGTCAGAACAAGAGAGGTTTCATAGCTTATTGTATAAGAGACGGACCATTAGAAAAGTGATGGAGAGGGGAGGGGTGGGACTTTTTCGGCTTTCAGGAATTTTTTTTTTCATCTGCAGGGCAAGAAAATCGGTCTGTAGCAGTACGTTAATCTGTCTGGACATCATGAGGAGAAACAGCTAATAAAGAAGCAACTTCTCATTACTGACATCGACATTTAGGGAAGGCTTTAGCTCTTGAATGAACAGTCTCTTTAATTTTGCCATGAAAGTCGGTAACGACGATATCATTTTCAATTACTCTCACCGTCTCAGGAAAACGTTAAGCAGAGAACACTGTGAATTCCTCAAAGATGGCGGGTGACCTTAATTTTTCGAATCAAGTTTCGTTCGATCACATCTTGGAAATAATGAGTGACAATCTCCAACTGCAAGAGTTCTTTGCCAGGATGTTTTGTCCCGCAGGCGTTTCGATATCCCGCAGAGTATCGGGACATCTCCCGCTGAGGGAACAGGAGATAAAGAGCACGAACAATGAACCAAGTGCAGATTGACAAGAATTCATCAAAACAGTGGTAAAGATCAACCTTTTTAGGGGACTTGAACAAACGAACTGTGTATTCATACTTTCAGGGGAGTCCCCTAGGTGGTTTGCTAAAGAAAGTCTACTTTTCAGACTCTTTTCAGTTAATGAGGGAAACGGGAAAACAGTTATATTTTGCTTTGTTCGCATTTTCTGCCTCAATTAATGAGAGTATAACGATTTCACCTTTGTATTGCGTCCAACGGAAGTAGTAAGATAAGAAATATGCGAACGCCTCACAAGGGAGGCACCGGAACTCTGCCAAACCGGAAGTTAAACGCCTTTCGATTGATTTGGGCTGCAAATGATGATTTCTATGGGGAAGGTACTTACTCAACTGCTACTTTCTTATTCTAAACACAATTAATTTTCCATGCAGACAATTGCAACAAAACATGCAATTGGCGATTCGAGAAAACAAGATATTCAGGCAGTAAGCTTTTAGGTCGCAAGTTTCGCGCCTGCCTCCCCGGTGTGTTTTCACGGGTGTTTACAATTATTCTGTACCAGTCCTTCGCGTCCATCAGATCACGTCTTCCTTCATCAAAGTAATCGCGCTATTTTGAAATACTGCTGGTGGAATCTTTCGCTTTACAGATACCGGTACTTTAAAGCGCAAAACAAGTTAATATCATACAGCAGACGATTGAAACTTGCGAGTCAAGTGGTTGGATGTTGCAAGGGATTCGTCGTGACGTGAAATCGTTCGCATCTTTTCAGATTTTTGTGGCACCGATTTAGCTCACCGAGTTTTGAGTTGGACGGGTTCTGCCGATGAGTGATTGAACATAAATTTGGACAAATGCAACTCAGCTTGGTGACAAAGAAAGCAGCAAAGTCTTGTCGAATTCTTCCATAAAGAGCAGAGACATCTGGCAAAACTGTTCACTTTGGAAATTGTGATTGTATCATTAAACCCATTGATGCCTTCAGCGATGTATTCGGGGAATATGTTTCCGGAAGATTAAATTTCTGTCGAAATTTTGGATCGATTACAGCGAGTTTGACAAACAAGTAATCAGTGGTTCTTCATGTTTCTTGTGGCTGTCGGCAGGACATTTTATTTCTTGTTAGCAGAAGAATTAACTTGGAGTGATGCATATATTGATGTACAAACTCAAAGACTCGTCGCTCGGGCGACTGGTCGCATTTCTCCTGGTATTTGCACTTGTGGTACCGCTAATAACTCATTACTATTTAGCAAAAGAAACAGTTCCTTCAGAGAGAAGTCGAATTAATTTTCAATCAAGGACCAAGTTAGACAGACCCGTTGACAAAGCGGATTCTTTACTTGATAGAATCGATGAATTGAAATACGAAATTGAAGAACAGGAGAGAATCAAATTGTCATTATCTAATGAACTAAGACAGCTTGAGGGAAGGAAGAACGGGCTTTTAAAAGTGATTTCTAATTTTTCTAGAAAAGCAGAGAGCGCAAGAACTCAAGCTGAACATTACCATGCTGATGTGATTCGAGCACAAAGGGAACTGGAGCTTATTAAGCTTGCCAAAATACGAGCTAATGACTGTCCACAGCTACCTCATTTAAAACTGCCGCAAAAACTTAATGTGGAATCAGAGGATGACATTAGCCCGGTCCCAGACCAAAGAATTTCATCAAACTGCCAACTTAACAATTGCTTTGATTTTTCAAGATGTGCTTTCAATTCTGGATTTCCAGTCTTTGTCTATGAGCACCCTTTGGGTTATTTTACTTCAGACTCTAGAGCCATAGATATTTTGCAGTTGTTGAAAAACACTCCATATTACACAGCTAAACCAGAGAAAGCCTGTTTGTACATAGTGATTATTGGATCAACAGAACCTACTCATCATCCGAAAAGTAAGAGCGAACTTGAAACAGATTTACACTCACTGCCTTACTGGAAAGGAAATGGCAAAAATCACTTGCTTTTACACCTAAAAACAGACAGAAGACATTTTACTAGTATTTTATCCCTTAACATAAATACAGGCTTTGCCTTGGTTGCTCAATCAACATTTTTTAAAGACAATACTTATCGCCATGGCTTTGACACTGTGTTACCACCATCGATTGGACCCCTCAAGGGAGACGTGTGGCATCTTGCTGCTTTACAGCTACCAGCAAGAAGGAAATATTTGCTGAGTTTTCAAGCGGAACATGCTGATCATCTTACCGAAACGATGGCCATTCTACGTGATCAACTTAACGATATATCCAGAGAGGCTGGAGACTTCTTAATTGAGCTTTATCTATCAAAATTGGAATATTTAAAGGGAACTAGTGAATGGTTGTTATGGGCAAGCCCTGAAAACAGAACAAAGGTTCTTAGACAATCAACTTTTACCTTAATAGTAGGATCAAACAGTGCCAGCTCCAGCTGGGACAGTTGTCATATCCGGCTGCTTGAGGCATTACAATCTGGAGCTATCCCAGTGATATTATCAAGCAAAGCCATTCTTCCTTTTAATGATGTGATTGATTGGAGGAAAGCTGCAATCATTCTATCACAAGCTCGGCTCCCTGAATTGAACGTGTTACTCAGAACAATTACAACTGAAGATATTCTTGACTTGCGTCGACAAGGCAGATTCCTTTGGGAGACATACCTTTCAACTACTGATGTTATTTTGAAAACTGTGCTAGCTACTATGAGAACACGCTTGTCAATTCCTGCCCATCATGTGTCTGCTTCTCCGACGCCATCAGTGTTCGGTGATTCCAAGCCCCCTGTTACAAGCTCTCCAGACCCAGATGCCAAAAGCAGCCTTGCGCTAGAATCTCCAACTTTCTTTCGAAATTTAACATCAACTGTTGTAGATTCCTACAATGTGTGGAATTTTCCTCCAGGTTCTTTCAGAATGTTTCCAAGCATGCCGTTTACTCCTGTTTTACCTTCTTCAGCGCCATTCAAGAATTCCAGCAAACGATTCGAACTCATCGGGGATGGAATGGGCGGAGCAGGAGCAGAGTTTAAGAAGGCTTTGGGTGGTAATTACCCAGTGGAACAGTTCACTATTGTCATTTTGACGTACAAGAGAGAACTGGTGCTTATGGAAACCATTAAGCGTCTTGTCGGGTTACAATACCTTAATAAAGTTGTTGTGGTATGGAACAGTCCAGAGCCACCTTCTTTGTCGCTTAAATGGCCTGACATTGGGGTGCCAGTTCATGTAAGTGAAATAATTATGTTATCTTACCAACTTATCTGTACCAACAGGTAACGCATTAGAGCATGATCGACTGCGGGACTGCCGGAGCGGTTTCTTTTAACTTAGATATGTAGTGGCCAGGCATTCTGCAATCTAACCGTCAAAACTATACGCGGAAACATTTTATACCATTATATGCGTTATCTCCTTTTGTCTTTGCGTTACATATAAACAGATCGCTTTTAATAAAGGGCATGTGCATCGTTCTGTTAAAATAATAATAATAATACTTTATTTATATAGCGCTATTTCTATCGCTATCCAATAATGCTTTACAATGATTTTAAAACATGGGTAAATTAAAATAACTAATAAAATAACTAAGCTGTAAACATCAAAATGAAAACAAGGAATAATAAAACCTTAAAACAAAAACTTACTAACTAACTCTCTTTACTATTCAATTCAATATATGACGAAAAAAAAATGTTGCACTTCAATAAACATTTTCTTCCTGATAACATTCCCTCGCATTC